CCAGGGGGGGCTGGGGCGGGGGGGGGGGGTGCTGAGCCCCCACCGTTTTGTTCCTTGCATGCTGAGGCCCTGAGCATGCAGGGAGTCAGGGCCAAGAGCCACAGATCTTCCCCTGAGCCCCCAGAAGCGCCGGGCTCTGCCCGCACTGAAACGAAATGGCACAGGGGCCGGTTCCTGTTCCCTGACACGCGCCTCGTCGTGCACTGACATGCTGCCGGGTCACCCCATGGCTCCCGATGCAAGCAGCAACAGGAGCTCCAGAGAGGGCCTCCGTTCGAGGACCAGCTTTGGGGGACCAACGCTCCCAAGCACATACGGGCTCCTTCACCCAGAAGGCTGGTATGCATTCCTCTGGCTCTCCGTTGGCAAGGGGGCTGTGTTGCTCCCCCAGACCTGGCACCTGACTTTTCAGGGTCCTTCTGACCACGGCCCCGGCACTCACTTGCCCAGCAGAAAGGGAAGGGTTAGAGCCACTCCTCAAGCACAGAGTGTCTCGGGGGGGCGGGGGGGAGGTTCCCGGCTGCTCCTGCGCGGTGAGCGTGGCACACAGCTGAGGGGGTACTTGCCTTTGAAGGAGCGAAGATGCAGAAGCCTACGAAGTGCAGGATGGGGAGCTCAGCTCTGGGATCTTCATGAAGTATCTGAAAAGACACATTCTGCAGGAAAAGAAAGTGACCCATATGCTGGAGGATGTTCTGGAAGGTAAATATTAGACCAGGCTCGTTTAGTTCACGCCGGGAGCTATTTATTCTGGGCAGTGATGGGATTCAAAGGGAGAGGAGAAGGAGCAGAGAGACGAAAGGTCAGGAAGGCCCCCGGCCCAGAGAGTCCGTCCGAGGGCATGAGAGTGAAGGGGCTGAGCTGAAGTCGGGGAACCCCCCGGGGGGGGGGGGGAGGGGCTGTTTGCAAAGGGGGATCCTGTGGGGTAGAGGCCAGAAAGCCTCGCGCTGGAACGCAGCAGCCTGCTGCCACGAGCATGGCAAAGCCCCCGCGTGACCATGGCACGCTGAGTCTAACCCAGCCCGGCCTCTGCTAACGAAGATCCTGCCTCTGACCCTGGCAGCACCGAAGCCGGGGCGGGAGGAGAGCCAGCTGGCCGCGTTCACCCCGTCCTGGCGACGGCCCTCGCAGGGGGCGGGGAGGGAAACGAATGAGCCGTGGGTGGCTGGGAGGGGTCCCAGCACAGTGCAGGGAGATGTGGCAAGTTCTCATCGGGGTCCCCAGACTGCAGCTGGCTCGGCGGGGGGGAGGCATTTTTGAGGGCTCAGTGGCGGTTGAAACCCGGCATGACAGATGGGAGGTGGGGAGTGATCGGGACTCTCCCGGCACAGTGCTGGCTGCCCAGGACTTTCCTCCTGGAGCAGGGACCGAGGGGTTTCTGCAGCGGGCAGTTCAAGGCAGGGCTTGGGGTGCATGTGGAGTGGGAGGGGGACTATCCCAGCCCCTAGAAATCTGCCCGTTGCTTGGCCTGCAGGCGCGGCACTGCCCGAGGGGGAGCGATGGTCACAGCAGGAGCTGGGGAGACCGGCCTGGCGCAGGGACGGTGGGAGCCGGGTCTCCAGTGCAGGGGGAGAATTCAAAGCACAAAGAGGAGGTGGTTGTCCAAACCCCACCGGCTGCCCCAGCGCCCTCTCCGGATCATGAACCGTTACGCAGGCAGCTCTTCTCCCCCAGACATTGGCCGGGACCCCTTGGTAACTGGGAAGCAGGTGATGGAGATCAAGCACACCCTGAAGGAAGCCCGGGCACTGACAGACCCCGTCTGCACGGCTGGACCAGCTGTGGAGCTCTGGGGACACAGCCATGGTAAGAGACTCTGGTGTCTGGCCTTTCTGGCCTCTATCGCGCAACGTGTTGGACAGTAGAAGCTTTGGTGTCCAGCAAGGTGGGAGCATGGGGGTGCCAATAAGTCAAATATTCTGGGCAACTAAGAGTTTGGAGGGTGGCAGCCCTGGGCTGAGGGGTGCAAGCTCCGGGATGGAGCCAGATCGAGGAGTTCAGGGTGCAGGAGGAGGATCGGGGCTGGGGGGGGGGGTTGGCTGTTGGAGGGGGTGAGGGCTCTGGCTAGGGATGCAGACTCTGGGCTGGGGCTGGGGATAAGGGGTTTGGGAGGTAGGAGGGGACTCCTGGCTGAAGCTGGGGGGTTTGGAGTGCAAGAGGGGGCACGAGGTTTGGGCTCAGGGAGGGGTTTGGGGGAAGGGGCTCAGGGCTGAGAGGCAGGCTCTGGGGGAGGAGTTTAGATGCAGGAGGAGGATCGGGTAGAGGAGGGGCTTGCGGGTGCCAGATCTGAGCAGTGCTCACCCTGCAAGCGGCCACTTGTCCCTGTTCGCCTAGGACCTAGGTGGAGGTGCAGCTAGGTGGCTCTGTGTGCTGCCTCCGCCCGCAGAGCTCCCATTGGCCACAGTCCCCAGCCAATGGGAGCTGAGGCGCTAGTGCTCGTGGTGGGATGGGGGCAGTACATGGAGCCCCCACGGCCGTTCCGTCCCTCTGCCTAGGAGCCGCTGAGACGTGCCACCACTTCTGGGGAGCCAGGCAGGCCAGGTAGAGAGCCTGCCGGCCCCACGCCAACTGGCCTATCCACCGGACTTTCAGTGAAAATGAGAAATGCTGGTTTATAGGCCCTCCGGCAGGCACAGGCCAGATAACACCGCGTTAAGGGGGTGTCTGCACAGCAGGGCTTAACTCGAAATAACCGAGGCAAATGGAGCTGTGTCAGTTGCGTAGCTTCTTTCGAAAGAGGGAGCGTCTGTTACGCTGCCTTCTTCCATTGAACTCGCGGGTGGTAATGAGCCTCAGGGTGGTCGGTGCAGCTGGAGCAGGGGGAGACAGGCCCCAGCCCAGCTATGGCCCTGCCCCCACCATGGGGAGGGGAGGAGGAGCAGTGCATGGAGTGCACCCCCAACGGAGAGGGGAAGTGCATGCACCCTAGCCTCCCTGGAGCAGCGGGGAGGCAAGAGGCCACATCGCTTAACCTCCCTGGCCCCCAGAGCAGCGGGGAGGGAAGAGGCCACGTGGTGTGAGCCCGCCTGAGCCTCCCTGGTCCCTGAAGCAGCAGGGAAGGAGACGGCCGCACGGTCTGAGCACAGGGACTTTGGGAAGGCAAAGCCTGCCCCTGCCTTACATACTGGACGTGCACGTGAGGCCTAGCCATTGGCCCTAGGACTGTACCGCCCGGAGGAGCAAGCGCTCTCAGACTAGCAGACCCAGGCCAACCCGCGCCGGTGTCTGGGCGGCGAAGCTGGACAGGTTCAGACTGGAAATCGGGCATTGGCAGGGAGGGTAATTAGCCACTGGGCAGTTTTTCAGGTTCTCCTCACGGACGATTTTGCAGCCCAGAGTGGCGGGTGGCCTGTTCCCCAGCTCCTGTGGGCCGTCCCCTGCGAATCCTTCCTCCGGCTGGGTGGGGCCGAGCCATGAGCCAGGGCACTCGGGCCTGCGCGGCCGGGCCTCTGCCCTGACTTCGCTCTGATTTCCCTTGCAGAGCTGCTCAAGGAGACCCTGACTTTCCCGTGCGGCGTCCAGGTGGAGCTCCGGTGCCAGGAGGTTTTCTCCAACGTAATGCACGTCAGCGCGAAGCTACGGGCTCCCCCCCCGCACGTCACTGACGTCCGCCTCCTGCTCTGCAGGCCCACGGTGAGCAGCCAGCCTCCTGCACGTGCCCCGGCCGCTTCCTTCAGCAGGGTGGGGAAGGCTCCAGTGCCGGGGCAGGAAGGAGGCACCCCCAGTGCGGAGGGGGGCTGGGAGTGGGGGGTGTCCCGGAGACGCCGAAGGGATGGGATTACAGCTCTGAAGTCCCGTGCTGAGGACGCCCTGCCTGGACCCGGGTGCTGGGGACAGGGTGGCAGGCTGGCTTGATGCTGAGGGCAGCGCCACTGGAGGGATGTCAGATGTGGCTGGAGATGGCTCAGTGCCCTGCCCTTCCCAGCTGTTGGCAGGGAGTGGGGACAGGAGCATGTGTTCTGAGGGGTCTGCGGGACAGCGTGTGAGCAGGGGGCAGGTTCCAGGAGTGTGCCCCCCCTCTCAGAGGGACTAGCCAGATACAGCAGCAGCCCCAACCACAACCAACATGGGCCTGTTCTCCCCCCTGGGGGGCCAGGCCCTCAGCTCCTGGCACCAACCAGGGCAGGTGCTTCGGGCCCCCCGAGGCCGCCCGCGGTTCTGAACACACAGGCGACGTGCAGGGCCGCGGCTTTGTCTAGCTTTTCCGTGCATGGGTTTCCAGCGTTCGGGATCCACCCGGGAGTCACATGCAAGCGGGTGAAACCACGTCCTCCCGGTGGCTGCCTGGCTGCTTTGCACTGCAGGGCTTTGTGCGCGGCCGTGCGCCGCTGTCGAAGCGCTTTCCCCGCCGCAGTGCATGCTGGGGCAGCTCGCGCCCCACGGCCTCACTCACACCGGGTAGGCAGAGAGGGCTGAGCTACCCCAGGCTCTCCTGTCGCCACTGATGGTTGTTGGAGCTCGCTGGCCTGGCTTCTGCCAGCCCTGTTAGCTGCGTATGGCACCTGCGTGCCGTTCGGGTGCTCAGACCGGGTCCTAGCAAACAGAACTGTGGGGTTCTTGGTCGTGTGGGCTCCAGCACCCAGTGTGGGGGACACGCTCTCGGGTTCCAGGCCTGCCACTCTCGTGGCGAGGATGCGCTGAATAGCGACCTTCTCCCCGGCTCCCTTAGTGCTTGGGGGAGGCTCACACAAGCTGGTCGCCGTGTGCGGGGTCCCCGTGCGGCTGCGCTTACTGGAGCAGAGCTAACTGAGAGGTAACTCAGCAGAGACGGCAGCCTCGTCATCTTCCTGGGGCCCCCGACAGGTCCAGGAGATTGAAGCAGCTGACCGGGGATTGGCACGGGGGTGGAACAATGCTGGGCTCGCCCCTCACCTGCGAGGACACGGCTCTGTCGTGTTTCCTACTGGCCCCTTGCCTCACACCACTGACTG